AGCTTTAGACACAACGTAAATGGAATTAGTGACTGTGAACACAATTTAATTTGGAATGAACATTTTAAACATCCCTGTATTAATATTATTCTCATTATCACCAGAAAGTTACAGCTCGCTTATTCCCAATTTACAAAATACATCTCAGTTTTTGAATGTATATATGTTTATCAATAGTGGAAAATTAAATATAGTTGTCAATGAGAATTGTTTCTAAGTTGTAGCAGAGATATGATTTGATTAATTTCTTTTAAAATTTGTTTTGCCTTTTTAATATGTAATTGGTTTAATTCAACTGTGTTCTTCTAACGGAAGAATTGGTTTTTATTCAAGTCCACTTTACTTAATTCGCTTATGTTACCAGTCAAACTGTAGTTCACTTTGGTTCAAGTTCCATATTCCAAGTCTGAAACGTATTGCAAGTAAGGTACACTAAATATATATTGTGTAAGACTTGAGGTTCTCACAGCGGTGAGTATGAAGATTTCCGTCTTCTGGGTTGTTGCGCTGTGTAGTCTAGTAGATGTTTACCAACGTTTCAGAGGTCATACTGCCTCCGTCATCAGAGTATGAAGATTTCTGTCTTCTGGGTTGTTGCGCTGTGTAGTCTGGTCGATGTTAACCAACGTTTCAGAGGTCATCGTTGGTTAACATCGACCAGACTACACAGCGCAACAACCCAGAAGACGGAAATCTTCTAAATATATATTCCTTGATGTTGCAGGAAGGGAGAGTGTGACGATGCTGACCAAGAGATGGATAAAGTCTTTAAGTACTTATGTTCTTTTGAGAATGACATAATCCGGCCTCGGACAATCAGTATAAAGGGACGTGATGTTTCCTTTAAAAAGACGTGTGGTCAAGTTCTAGACAGTACTTTCTCTGAGTTGTGTGATCGGGTGAGTTACGTTGTAAAAGAGCAATATAATCACATTTGTTTAACAGAACTACTTTACCTTCAGACTGTCAGTGGAGTTTCATTAACATAAGTACATAATTCAAATTATTATACAGTGCATTCACTGATAAAGTTTAATGCAACTGTCATTTCCTGTCTTATGGATTCATATCAGGTAAACCTTGTAGTGTTTGTTGGTGAGTAATGCAGTTCGAGCCATGAAGTAACAATTACATTTAACTTTATCAGTGACTGCAATGTTGAACCTATCTGTAAAACAGATTCTAAGGTAACATATGTGGAAATATACAGAGTGATGTGCAAAATGTGTACCCATTAAATTACACCATAGAAATTCTTATAGATGATAGCATAGTACTCTGTTGTCAGCGATATTGTTATAAAGTGGTTAACATACCATGGTTATGCCAAGAGAGGTGGAGATATATTTAGTGACGTTGCCAGGTCACTTCCTGATTTTGCACAGAGTGATTGAAAAGTCACGCAACCCATTCCCGAATCATGTTCTTGTTTGTCAAAAGTAAATTACATTGAAATCAGAAAAATAAACAATATTATATTAAGTGTTGGAAATGGAACTGCTTTCAGCGATGCATGAATTCATTCTTTTCTTCACGTTTGATACAACCTGGTAAAGAGTTTCTTTTCATGGAAATGGTTCAGAAGACAAAATAATGTCAAATTTTTTGGCAAAGTAGAGTTTGGAAAAAACACATACCCCTAAACTCTTTCTGGTAAGATAAGAAAGAACGATATGCCAAGTATTGTTTGACAATGAGCACTCATTCATTGCACTTGTGAAAAAGACATCCATTGATCATTAAGTGTTATTGAGACAGTACCAACAAATTCAAGTTCTTTGTTCAACATGTTAATTGTCAGTATTAATACAAAATGAAAATGAAGTCAACTTGTGTATTGGTTTAATGATAAATGAAAAATACTCTATTTTACAGCCTCATGGAGCGAGTGACTACATTCAGTTATCTCATGCTTTCCATACGATTCTTATTCGAGATGTGCCACAAATGAGTCTGCAGATAAAATCGCAAGCTCGGCGCTTCATCACTCTTATAGATACACTGTATGATAACAAGGTGAGTTGGTTATGGGATTCTCGAAACGTTGGCAGAAGATATGGTTTATCCACCATTCAGCCACCTGACGCGGCTTGTAACCCGAGAATCTTTCATCAACTTAAAATCTGTTTTATTATAAGTTTGAATGATATAATCTTCAAGTAGATGTGTCTTACTTTGCATTGTTGATGTTGATAGTCTCAGCTACTGACATTGTTGTTAAATATTTTGTAAATAATCAACCCTGCATTTCATTGCATTTTGTCCAGTAGTCCATTGGTTTCCTGATTGCATCAGAATAAAATGTTTCCCATTAGACCGTAAGCAGTGCTTCGTTTCACAACTATGTTTACAGGAACCTACCATTGGTTCCTGTCCTGAGCCAGATTAATTCAATCCATACCCTCCAAATTTGTTTGTGTAAGATTAATTTTGAGAACAGATGCACCAGTTTGCACCAAACTTGACTTGCTAATTCCTTGAGACCAGGAAGAGAAGAAAGAAAGGTTCAAACTTTGGAAAATGTGTCCTTAGTTTGAGCCTTGGTGAGGTTGGTTCATCTAACTTAGAAACTAAGCATGATAGAAAAATGGCACCTAGGCCAGAGTTGTTTATTTCAAAGAGAAGATTACAGAACTAGACGTCATAATCCTGAAAAACACCTGGGTTCTGTTATCAGTGGTGAATGGTTTCTGTAGGTGGGTAACAAAGAATGATGCCAAAACCAAAGTTGTTTGTTTTGAAGCAGAGATTACATAAACAAAGGCCACAACCTCCAAAAACTATTCTGAGTTTGTGTCATGAAGATGGTTTCTGTAGCTCAGAAACTGATCATGATAAAAGAATAATCAAAGAACATAATTATTTGTTTTGGTAAGGATATTACAGGAACGAAGATCACAAACCCAAAAACTGTCCTGGATCCTAGTCTTGGTGAAGATGGTGGGTTTAGTGACATTCTATTTTTATATGATATTAAACTATATATTGAATGGTCAGGCCAGCCTATGAGAAGCTTTTGAACAACATGGATTTTTTTATTTTCTCCAAAGTAAAACACTGGGCAGTCTGCTACTTCTCGTAAATGCTGTCCTTTATGTTACTCTGTTTATCAGATGATGCATGCCCATGAAGGACATTGTCACAACAACTGTCTCTTAATATTAAACATGGCAGCCTCTTGCTAACAAACTCTACCCTCTTAAATGCTGGTATTGTTTCCTTGTGTACAGAGAAGCCTTTTCCTGAGTATTGACATAAATTTATTTCCATGGAAGAATATATAATTATGTGTTGGTTCAGTGCCATCGTTGTCCCATTTGACTCCCAATATATGTAACTTATGTCTTGATATTCTCTTAGTACTGTTTTCATACTACCTAACCTATAAAGATTCCTGACAGTCCAAGTTAAAATCAAATCTGATGTACATTTTTTTATTGATTAGATTGTTCCTGAGAAGTGCATGCGGTCATGCATGGATAATCCACATTCCAGATAATCTGCACGTGAATAATCGGTGGTTTACTGCATTTTAAATTGACCTGTAAGAAAAATATTTGCCTGGTAGTAAGAGTGGTTTTGAAGCCTACAGTCTTTAGTCCTTCATAACCTTAAAATGCAGTATTTCAGTGGTAATCACTTTCAGTACTGTGCTTGTTAACTGAAGACTGCATGGTCAAAGTCTTGTTTCAGGTGAGAGTTGTGATATCATCTGCTGTTCCAAACAGACAGCTTTTCTTGACTGGGCAGCAAGAGGATTTCTCGGATGACCATCGTAAGCTCATGGATGATCTGAACATTCAGCATGGCTCTGTAAGTATATTGTGAATGTAAATTCAAAGTGTCATATGCCAGTGTTTCACTTTTAAGTATCTCTTTCAGTTATAGAGAGGCTTGTGTTTGGACAGAAGTGAGTCAGTTGCAGTCCACCAGAGTGTGTTTACTTTTCCTCATGAAATAGCTCCCTAGATGAAAATCATGGGGTGATAACTGGTCTCAATGTGATACCTGGGCCAGCTGCTCTGTGTCATTTTCTCAGATTCTGCTTGTGAATAGTTGGATAGTTATTTAGCACAAAGTATGATGTTCTGTTCCTTGTGATGTGACATTCATTGTATGCACATTTCCTGTTGATTTTTAAAAGTACATTTCTGTTTTTTCATACAGAAAATGTTCACACTAAAACGAGTGTTTTGGATTGTTGTGCACATTTGCAATGTCAGCCGTGTACGCCCGTATTCTGCGTGTAACAGTTTGGGAACCACTGAACAGAATTTTATAAAATTCTATATTGGAGAGTTCTACTAAAGGTCGTTCATATATTCCATTTCTTCTTAAAATTAAACAACACCAATGGATATTCTACAGGGATTTTTGTGAATGTAACTCAGTAAACAATTATTGTAGTGTAAAATGTTTTCAATACAAATTGTAGAGAAAAATTAAATACACATTATGCCCAGCAATATTTTTTTACAGGTCTTACAGTTTTGAGGTGATAAAAGGGATTTTAATGGTGTCATGTCGTAACTCAAGAACTGCTTGACTGATTTTGATAAAATGTTATATTGGATGTCTTTGTTCATCCACCCTGCCTATTTCATGCTGTTTGTAAGAGAGCATCAAAAGTTATTCACAAATTTAATATTTAGTGCAGGGGCTGAAAACTTTTCATTACAGAGTCTTTTATTATTGTTGTTGTTGTTGTTTGCCCTTGTGCTTAGATTACATATACAGAATGTCCCACAACATGGTGTCCATAGCATAACTACATGCTCTTGGGATCATTTGGAGTTGAAAAGTTCAAATAAACGTGGGTCCGATCTGGTCCGCACTCCCTATGCATTGGCTGTGTTTCAGAAATTAGTTCACTAAGCTGCGCACATGGCAAGACACAGGGCAGTCAGTACTCGAAGACTGCTTGACATTTCAGCGCTGCTTGCAGGAAGAGTTGCCATTGATGTTGGAAGATGTTCCTCTGCTAACTAGGCAAGAGATGTGGCTGCAGCAAGATGGTGCAGCTCATCATTTTGATAGGCAGGCGACTGCATTTTGAATCTACATTTTCCAGACCGTTGAATTGGCTGAGGTGGTCCAGTTGTTTGGCCAGCGAGATCACCAGATCTTTCGCCTTTAGACTACTTTCTATGAGGTCACATGAAATACTTGATTTATTCCATCAAGTCAAACGGTAGGGCTGAGCTGCTGAAACGAATAATGGACTCCGGTGCTAATATCAAAAATGATCTTGACTATGAAGAGAGCTGTTACTTCAATTACACAAAGGGCTCAACTGTGCGTTGACAATCAGGGTGACCATTTCGAGTCATGTAAATAATGTGAGTAATTGGAAATGCAATTTAGATTGTAGTCTAAACTTAATGATAATAGCACTGTAACGTAAAATTAAATTGAAATATGTAAAAGTTACAAATATAATAAAATGCTCATTCTCATTTTCTTGACAAACTTTTGCAGATCAGACCCATGTTTATTTGAACTTTTCGACTCAAAATGATTTCAAGAGCACGTAGTTAAGCTATGGACATCCCGTTGAGGGGGACAGTGATACAGTATTACAGCAATCTGTATGGGCAACAGATTGAGAACCGCTGATTTAAATTTATTGGGTAGTTGACTGACTGATAATTTATGTTACAGGAAAATGCTTCTGCTAGTATTTTTACTGGAGATGAAGAAATCTTTGCTTTTGATCGAACTATGTCACGACTCTCAGAAATGCAAACTTGTGAATACTGGGAACAATGGGAAAGGCATAGGTAATTTAGGACTAAAACAGTAGGAAATGAACAGTATTTGTTTTTATTAGGGCAACAGTGGCAATGCTGTAAATGTTTTACATATATATATAAGTATATAAGTTATTGGTGTTAATTAGAAGTTCTTGTAGCTGCTGTGGCTTATGTTGTATAGTGATACTTGTGTTGTAAATAAAATTAATACATAAAAATAATCAGCTTCTTGGAGACATGACTAGATGTTATACATGGAAGAATTGTATATTGAAACCTAATATTGAACTTCACATGCCATCCTGAAGTGATTCCCATTTAATAATATCACACTTTTCTTTACCCATGATGTATCTTTCTACATAATGTCAGGGTCATTATAGATTGGTGCTTGTTAAGGTTTCAGAAAAGGCCTTGAAGGTGGTTGTTGTTGAAGTGTTTAATTTTTGAATGTACAGTGTTAGAGGGTGACATGAAGACACTGGGGATTCATGATAATTAACCAATTAGTTTAAAAGTTATCAGAAATGAATACATGCTTAATCATGAAAGTTTTATTTTTAGAAAATCTGGATAAAAAAAATAAAAATTCTGTTTCTTTTGTCATAATTAGAATCAAGATAGCCTTTAGTCTTCATTTGTCTCTGCATGTAATTCCTTCAGTGTGGTAAGTACATATTTTAATAAGAAAATATTATTTCAATGTACCTAGGACTTCTGCATTCTGTGCAGTCATTTCTCCATTTACACACTTTATATTTATGTAATTTTGGTTTAAATGGGTTGAAAAATATGTATTGTCTCTTTATTTGTATTATTTTAGTTCTAATTTTAACACTTATGCGGTCGGTAACAGGTAACATGGTGGGTGATGTCATGGCATTTATGTGGAATGTTAGAGAACATAACATCAGATGCAACTATATGAATATTATACATGAACAAATGCGTATAATGGTTTATCATGTGGGTTTTCAGCCCTCTTATGGTTTTATTTGCACATTTTTTGATAATTTCAATTTTTTTAGGTACTCTGACTACAAGGTGCACTTTTCTTGTAACATTAATAGAACACTCATTTTTTTATTATGTTAGAACTTTTCCATTGTTTCTTTCGTTCAGGTATATAATTTGTGTGGGTCAGGAACACAGTGGAACCCTGTTCTTGAGAACTTTTTTTCAGTTACCATTCAGAACATTCGGTTTCTGATAGTGTCGATTCACTGTTGGACCGAAGAGTGTTGAAGGAAGTGTAAAGTGGAGGATAGTGACTCAAGGTCAGACAGTGGCATGCTGTGGCCTGTTCAGTTGCATTCCATTTGTGCTGAGTGAGTCTGGTGTAAAGATGGCTGCTCCACTAGACAGTTACATCAAGGATGAACGATGTGCTATACTGCATATTTTATGGTCTGAAGGAGTGAAAGGGGCAGAAATATTTCAATGATTGGTGCTCGGTATGTTTGCCATAACAAAGTGTACATGTCAAAATGTTTTAAAGTGACTGAGCCAGTGTTGTTGATGCACACACCCATCTACATTCACAAATGAACAAAATATGGAGAATGGTGGATTTCTACCCCTTTCACTCCTTCAGTTCACAAAATAATGCCTTAGTATGCTGCTTGTTCTTGGTGCAAACATGTAGTGGAGCAACTATCACAATGCCATGTTCACTTGGCACAAATGAACAGCAACTGAACCACATACACAGCGTGGATTTGTCTGACGGGCCACAGTATTACCAGGCCTCAGCTGTATTACCAGTCATACAACTAAATTATTCAAATATTTCTGATAGTTTAATCTCACTTGTGTTCCCAAAAATAACGAATTTTTGTAGTTTCTGTGTGCATAAACTATTCTTAATGTTCATGTGTTGAATAGACACTGAAAAATGGCTTTCAAAATACAAAGAAAATTATTATTACATTTATGAAATTGTAATAATCAATGTAATTTAATGGAAAACATATAAGATTAAAAAAGAGGGAATGATGGACTTTCCATATCAAAAACCAGCAGAGATTATGTTGCATACATGGATAGTATGCTACTCTTACTATTAAACTTCTTTGGTGAATAGATGATGACAAACTGATGAGAGACTTTTGGTGGAAGGTTATGTGCTATTCTGCTGAAATTTAGAGTTGTTCTAATATGTCTTTCAGACAGTCACATTTACAGTGGTTACTGTGCAAGGCATTGTCTGTGCTTGTGTGAAACTGGGAAATGTGTTAATAACATCTGTAAAATTTTCAGTGATATATCATTTAAATTATTGGAAAATGTGTTTAAATTGTTCAAAACTTTGGATTGAATGCAAGTATCTGTGATCAAAATTTATTTTTAATTCAAACTTCTTTCAACTTAAGCTCTCCTCATGTCTTAATGTACACAAAGCTTTCCTGTCTGTAATACACTTCTATCCTATCTAAATGTACTTCAAAGGAACTGACGAGAAACTATTTCCTGATGGATATAAGTGCAAAGGCAGTTGGGTTGAGAGTTTGCAGCTTATCATTAAACATAATATTTCTACCTTAAAATAAATTAAAGTAAGTTTCACAAAAGTACAAGGGACTAGGATTATAAAATTACTCGTTTCTTTGTTATGAATGGCAGGGAGATTGTGTAAGTTGTATTAGCAGCTAATAAAATTCTTTTGGTTTCTCAACCATGTGAAATGTTTAAAACTCGCCTACATTTCAGGGACCATATCTCGTGTCCTATTTCAAATCAATGCTCTTTCACAGCGGACTTTTCTAGCTGGACCTGACGTATTTGTATCATATGTTCCTTGCATCGGGCCGACCGTGGACGCGACCGCAAAACAGTTTTGTAGTATGCTGGAGATAGATGGCAGCGTGACGTCAAAAGCAGACGTTCTACTGATCTGTCTGTAAAATCGGGTTCGCACCTGCCAATTCTGCCGCATGGTAACATCACAGAGATTGCACTGACGTTTTCGTTGTTGACGTTCGCCATAATGAGCGATGTCTCATTTACATCTAAACCACGAAATCTACTGTTGCGTTAGATTCTTACGTTACGGCAGGATTTGCAGTCGTGAATCCCGCTTTGCCGTTATCAGCTTACAATGTTTTGTATGAGGGAAGATAGAGTGTGTGTAGAGGGACTGTGAAGTTACGTTGTAACATTTGGTGTCGGGTGATTTTTATTAATTTCGTTGTTGACGTTCGCCAGAATGAGCGATGTCTCATTTACATCTAAACCACGAAATCTACTGTTGCGTTAGATTCTTACGTTACGGCAGGATTTGCAGTCGTGAATCCCGCTTTGCCGTTATCAGCTTACAATGTTTTGTATGAGGGAAGATAGAGTGTGTGTAGAGGGACTGTGAAGTTACGTTGTAACATTTGGTGTCGGGTGATTTTTATTAACCATTCATCATGAGTGACAGGAACCCAGGTTGCGAATTAGGTGGGAATAAAAGTATTTTATTTCATTTCTAAATTATGGCAGACATACGTCTGCAACTACTTAAATTGTTTTACATTGATCTGTAGTGCGAACTGAAGTCACAGAATTAAAGTACTTTGAAACTATTATTCAAACTTGTTGAGAGTTGTACGAATGGTAAATAAATGTATATTATTGATAAAATGAATAGGTTTATAACTATCCATTTTTTTGCATCCTATTATGTTATATGTGAAGTAACAAAGATTAGTTACAATGTAGAGTTAAATTTTTGGCTACATGTTCACTCAGGATCATCTTCAGTCCCTCATGGATACATTACTTGTTCTGAAGTAGAGTTAAAATAATTGTGAGTTATTCACATTCGCTGAGTTATAGATACGAATATGAAAATACTGGCCATATAAAACATATTATTACAAACATATTTTAAATACTATAAATATATATGTTTTACTTAAACTTTCTGCCGACATCTTCTGAGTAGATGCTTCAAATATGTGCTTTTAATGTGTTCATGATTTTACTATTTGAGAATATGCTTTTGTATTCTTCCATGTCTAGGAGGTAGCAAGCACAACACAGTATTAAGATGTTTTCTTATTGATAGATGCAGGTATGCATATTTGTGTCCCAGAGTGGCAACAAATTTACATACCTTCATCTGTTAACTTTACCGACCCAGTGGGGTGTTAGACAGGTTCAGTGAACCTGTCTACATTTTACTCTAGGTGAAGAGCACAAGTTCCATCTCATCAGGATTGACTGGTAGCTCATCAGTTCTGTACCAACTTTGTTCTTTATTTAGAGCCCCTTACATGAGCTTTGAGACAGTGCTTGGGAATTCCCTAGTTATCAATAAGGCCAAATCAAGTGTAACCCTGTGTATACAAACTTCTACTGAGACATGCAAGGAGCCCATCCACCGCCATAATCTGAAGTAGTGGGGATGAAAGCCCATCCTGCAGACACCTCTAGTCAACATGCACCATCAACCTGCAGCCAATTTTGGACTTCATAATTTATGAGCTTCCAAGAACAAATTGGATCCATCTTATCATACCTGACTCTACGACATACTCTTCAGGTGCCTTGCACATGAACATGATGGTGGTGTTAAGTGCACCCTTGATATCCAGAAAATCTCCCAGAGTGATAAGCCCTCAAGTGTCCTGTCAATCTTATAAACAACACTGGAGAGATGTCTCCACATACATGCCAGTTTGATATGCATGTTGATGGGAGTGCATCCTCCCTTTTGGGCATGTAGGCAAAGGTTGGAAATTGCTCACCTGATTTCGTCATAAGACACTATCCATCTGACCAATGCACAGTGAGGTTGGAAATTGCTCACCTGATTTTGTCATAGGACACTATCCATCTGACCAATGCACAGTCCCAGGTCTCTCAAATCATGAGACCAGGCAAGGACGTCTGAACGTCTCCCTCGTTTAAATTATCAGAGCCAGAAAAATTCATTTCCAGCATCAGCTTGAATGTCTCTTCGCCTGAGGATATTTTCCCAGAAGGAAGCAAAAGAGACCCAGATATGACCTGTGATCTTTAGTGAGGATTTTGTAGAATGTCCCCTGCACTCATGTCATTGACACCGTGAGAGGGGATCTTCCAGCACTCATTTTGAATGCCTGATTATCCTTTCATACCTTCCTTTAGCCTCCATCTATCTTAGTTTCCTCTGCAGTGCCAAAGTGACCTGGAAATCCATGGAATTTTCTCGGCATGTCCACACTGATGCCTGTCTCCAGTTGACCATGATATAAGGATGTCTTCAGTGTGTTCCCCACTGCTTGAGTATAGCTGGTGGATCCATGGCCAGAGACAGACCATAAATCTCTAAAATTCTCCTGGCCTGCTGCAGGGGAGGGGACACCTCCGGGTGCCCTCTGTGATTTACTGACAGGGGCAGTAGAGCCTCCACTGCTGATCCTAGTTAATCCTATTCCAGCTGACCTCTCAGTTTCCTCTTCCTGGCCAGCTTCTACATGCATATTCATTTCTTCTTGGTAGTCAAGTTACTCATTCTCATCAGCAGGCCTCTCTCAGTCTTACCCTCAATGGACCCCACACCAGAGTCCCTAAGAGATTTTGGTTGCTTTTCCACAAAAACAAATGACCCAGCGGCTTTGCCTGCCAGTCCACTCTAGAAGATTCAAAGCCCTTTGTAAAGATGCCCCAGGATTCGACTCCAGCGGAGCCAGATGGTTGATGGGAGTCTTCTGACAGTTGCACAACATCCCTGTGGGTGCAACACAAGTAGCTAGGGAACTGCTGTCACCTCATGCAGGAACAAGGCTAGATATAATGGGAGGTTGCTTGGTATCCCAGGATCACCAGTCAGAAAAAACTGCTTCTTCATTATCCTACAGAACTCAGCATAGTGGCTCACAGTTTACCTTAGAGAACCACTGCCTTTAGTCAACCAGGCTTAGCCTGCTGCTTCTGGGGACTGCCGCAAGGATGCTGGTGAGGCATATTGATTCATGAATTTGGAGCAGACACAGTAGTCAAATTTTGGGAAGTGAAAATTCACACATTGTTAGGAGACATGAACCTGACAGTCCCATAATAAATGTGTGATGTGTCCTGACTTTGAATTCCTTGAATGGGCCATTCATCTTTGTGGATGCTACAGTAACAAGAACATGCCTGGTCATGGAAAATTATACAGTGCCTTAGAAACTACAATGATACTTCTTCTAGCGAGATGGAACCCCATTGTGTGGATGTTGTGAACAACTTCCAGAATGAGCAGTTTCTGGATAAATGGATAGAGAATGGAGATTCCTATGCCACCAGATTTAACCCCTCTCTTGTTTTTTTTTTCTAGGGGGTTCATAAAGTTGCGTACTAATTGTAGGTAAGAGATGGGGCTGACCTCCGCTGCCATGTAACTGCTGCTTATGAATCCATCATACAGAATATGCAAGAGATGGAGTATTATTGTGACATTTGTTGCACCACTAAAGAGACACACGAGATTTTCTGAAGGCCAATGAAAATTGACGAGTTTCTACATCTGTGAATGAAAACTTCATGTTTAACTTTGTTATATGTAGAAATTCAAAGGGACAGCCAGTATTTTAACTGAATAAATTAAACGGTGACATTCAATGGTTACTGAAACTGGGATGTGTGCACAAAAAACATATTATTTGTTACTAATTATTTTTTGATACAGTAGATTTTTACGATTTATAAATAATGCAAATATTATTTTAAAACCTGGGTGCTTTCATACTTGCTGATTACAGTGGTTACACTGCAGGGCAGGTACAGTCTTCAGCCATGTAGATTTTGGGATTGTGAATTCATCAAGACATTATAATATTTTTTCAGATCTGGGATGGCGATTTTGGGATTGTGAATTCATCAAGATGTTATAATATTTTTTCAGATCTGGGATGGTTAAACAGTATTCATGTGAATGTGCCTGCCATCAGGCTGCGGGCAGATGTGTTGCAGTCACGCCGCTCTGTCAAAAGAGAGTGGCAAGCAGCTTGGCTCTTGCGTGCAATAACTTGCATTGATCTTACGACACTTGGTGGTGATGATACAGCAAGTAACGTTGCACGCCTTTGTGCAAAGGTAACAATCACATTTGTTTAATCATCAGCATTTTCAGTAGCTTCAGGTTGTCTGCTGAGAATTGTTTGATATATTATTGTATTAATGGGAGAATATTTGACTCTGTGGATTATTGCAATTGTTGCTATGGTAACAGTTAAGGAATTTTGGACCTCGTGGAATAATGTTTATGTTATTAGTTTGTGTTATACTTAAATTATTATAAACATGTCCATGGCAACACTCTTAAGAGATTATGAGCCTTATTTTTTGCATTACTTGCTGTAAAACCACTGCCTCCTACCTCTGGTTAACAGTTGTCATGACCCTCAGTTTTTTCAGTGTGTATAGTGAATATACACACATGTTGTTAGCAAATGCTGAAATATTAATAAAACATTACACCAATTATCTAGCCTTGACAACTTTAGTTTTGAACTATACAAATCACATGACCTTCATGTCTTCTGTAAGCACCGTAAATCAGTCTTATAAGGCACTTTAGCTATATGGTAGCATACATACAGGGTCATAGGATTGAATCCTGGTGAAGTCTTTTTTTCACGCAGTCACCATGTTGGTATTTTATAGTATATGAATTATACCACAGTTTTGTATTTTCCAAATATCTTTGACCATACATAACTATGGTGCTAGTGTCACCCCATATCAAGTTGGTATTACTGATTGTAGAAAATAGTAAAGTATTATTTTAGGATAGTCTCCAATGGCATAATATCCAAACCATATTTCATCCAAATATGGCCAGTGGTTCTCAAGTTGAATAATGTGGACAGACAGACAGACATGTGTTTATTTTTTGCATCCTACAAAGAACCCTTAAAAGTGGGAACTTGCAGACATTTAGCTGGTTCCCATATTAATGTTGTTCTAAAATAAAAGATCAGTTGCCCACACGTCACAGTAATAAAATAAATTGGTAAAATGCACCTTATCCATATTCCATTACAATGATTTGTTATTCACATTTGGATATATTTTCTCAACATTGGAGAGTTATATGAAATTATAGAATATTTTTTTAATGAAATGTTTTCAGTCTTATGTATATGTAATAAAAAATATTTGAAGACCTTTATTTAATGTGATGACCAGAATTTTTGTACAGTCAGTTCACATTTATAAGTGCTAACAGTATTAAATTTATTGAAAATCAGTCTTGTCAAAGTGTAACACTTTTATGGGTATGGGTGGGTGTGATGAAGACCCCAATCAAAAAATTTGTTGAATGACCGTTGTACTCAGTCTATACATCTTCTTCTTCTATGGCTCTCCGGTCCGTATTCGGTCCATGGCCTACTCAATTCTCCTCTTCCATTCGGTCCTCTGTTACGTCCGTCTGTCCGAGGCTTTGATTGAGGTTTTGAAACATCTTCCTTTTTACGGTGCAAGGTTGTTAACCTTGTGACCAACCCCCAACCTGGAGGACCAGGGTACCTGTCTTAGTCCGACCTCTCCCCCTCGACCAATCTGGCTAGGGAGGCCCTACCAGTAGCTATGCTACCGCCAGCATAGCTCTTGGGGTCACTGAGGTACTCAAGCCCCACCACCACGACAAGGAGCAGGTACCATTAAGTGGGGCAGTCTATACATGGCAGTTAGTAAATAAATAACTTCATTAGTGTGTGTTATTTATTTCATGTCTCCTGCTTGACATGAAATAATTAACATAAAAAAAAGTAAAGCTGTCCCACTATACGCCATGTGGGAGCTTCAGAAAAGAGTATAGTCAGCGACTGTAATCTTTAGACTTGCGGGAAAGGATCCCAGTACCCATTGTAGAGGAGGTTGGGTGGGCCCCAGAGCCGGTCTGGACGCAGAGGCCAGAGGAAAAATCCTCTGCCCCCGTCGGGGATCGAACCCCTGTCACCCAGTCCTTAGCCAGTCACTATTGCGACTGAGCTACACCGGAAATAATTAACATACATAGTGAAAAGTTATTTATTTACAGATTGTTGTGTGTAGACTGAGTACAATACACATATTTAATTATGTCTGCAACATGCCATAAAATTGTATTTGTTCATCCAAGTTATAGTTGTGCTCAAAGTTATGAGAATTACTTATGTTCAGTACGTCAGATTGTGTACTGGGTTAGAATAGTGGCCACGATGAAGACCTGTGATCCACTGAATTGCTAGAGTATGTACATGCTACTGGTTACCTCATTCCGTCAGATTCAGAGGACTGTCCTAAGTATTAGGTCATCATTTTATTGATTTAATCAAGAACAGAAGAAAAGATAATTATCAAAGATTTTTAATAAGACTTTTTTGTATGTAGGCAGCGCATCCATTGTCATCTGATGTTCTATTAGCCCTTGGGTTTGAAGAAGATGATAACAGAATTACCACTGCTGCAGTGTGTCTGTACCCATCCCGCGTAGCGGATGCTGTGAGTTGTCTTAAGAAGATGGGTATGGCTGACAAGATTCCTGTTGCATCAGGTATTTGCATGTGTGTTTGACAGTTCCTTCCAATACCACTGCCCCACTCTTTGAACAGATTGTCATTAACAGGCGTTCTTTTAGATTTTAAGAGTATTACAGAATCTGTATTCCAATACAAGAAATGTTGGACATTACTGATTATGGCTGCTATGAATTTGAATTGAAGATGTGCTTGTGGCAAGACAGGAATGCAAACATTGTTAAAAGATTGCTCAAGAGGAAGGGTACGCAACAATTGTGGAGTTGAATAAGTATGATAACCCAAGAAAGGAAGCCGAGGGAGGAAGTATATCAAATAAGGGCAAGGGAATGTTTGAAGGGACTGCTAGGCATTAGGGTGAGGGTGGGGATTAATGAAAGAAGATGGGAGGAGTTGTTAGATAGGGATGCAGAGTTAGAAGAAACTCACAGATACTTAAAGAAAGCAAAAGATGTAAAGCAGTAGAGGTAGACAGCTACCCTATGGAGTTTTGGAAGGAATTTTGTAGGAAAGGAAATGTGAGCAAAATATTATTAAAATTAATTAATAACATGAAATAGGAGATTTTCCACCAGGTTGGAAGACTATTTTTATATAATTATATGAGATGAAAATGGACAAGCGGACCCTTCTGATTCTAGGAGAGTTTTGTTGCTTTCATTGTCATCAAAGGTGTATACAGAAATACTGGCAAGGAGATTGAATGATTAGACCGAGAAGAGGGGTGTCATATCAGAATGCCAGATGGGATTTAGAAAAGGAAGAGGGACGGTTTATATTACAGACTATAAGTATTGCAGAAGAGAGGTCGATTATATTTAGTGTTTTTAAATTGCAAAAGGTTTTGATACAGTGGTGAGGGAGGCTGTATGGTTGAAACTGGGTAAGAGAAGGGGATCAGCAAAATTCATTAAGGATGTCAAAGGAATCTATAGAAATGTTAAGATAACCGTAAAATTCGAAAGTAATTTGGTACTGGAATAACTAAATTCAGACATTGGGTTAAGACAGGGATGCTCACTATCACCAGTGTCATTTATTATATTTATTTATGGCATTTTGAGTAGACAACAGAAAGCTAACAACCATCCCCCCGTAGTTAGAAAGAGGCAAGTAGCAGGATTTCATATTCAGTGACATCTTTTTACCTTGGGGATGGTGGTAATGATCCCCACTAGCCCTCGTTGTATTGTTAAACCCTTCATTGCTACTGAAGATGTAAATAAGTAGGTTGTTTATTAGCTGTTTTTGATTGAATAAAAATTTACTTGGATATTATCCATCGTCTAGTAAATATAAAACGTAAAACGACGTTTCGGAGATGGGACTCTATCTCCGTCTTCAGGTTCCTACTCAGTTGGGCCCACTAGATAGAGCTAATCCCTATCTCCGGACAAATTAAAAAAGTGAAAGTCCCAGAATAAAAAGGCATAACCACACCATCCATCCGTGGGACGTAAAAGAATAGTATGTAGAAAACAAAATTCATAAACAAAAGACAAAAACTCACAAAAGGTGGGAATAAATACACATGAATATTAACTTGAAACTCGATGCCCACCTTGGATTTCTTGAGAGATGACAGGTATCCAAATAGGAGATAAATCCAAACTAGGCTGGCTGATAGGATTGGCGAGAAGTGCCATGTGTGCAGCCTCCTTGTATTTTCTGTATGTTATGATGATTTTAATGACGAATTCGTAAGAATGTGATTATGGAAAACAATTTAATTTGTTCGTACACAGATCAGTGCAGTGTTCTCATGTGTGAAATAAAAGTGTATACAGCCATGGCTGCTGTCATAATCAGCTTAAACTATATCAAATTAATGACTGTGGGCTAAGAATGGTTGATTTACTGCTCTCTGCACCTGTGGGGAACTTTCCCATTCATAATGGTCATGGGATAAACTACAAAAGTGCCAGCGTAACATTAAGTAGCACATAGTTGTTAATTTATTTGTTTGTAACTCTTTGTCCAGTTGCAACAGGTTTCCCTAGTGGCCAGTACATGCTGAAAACACGTTTAGAAGAAATACGCATGGCTGTTACAAGTGGCGCTACTGAGATTGACGTAGTAATAGATCGCAGTTTGGTTGTAACTCATCAGTGGGAGTTACTCTATCAAGAGATACAACAAATGAAAGAAGCATGTGGCCCCAAAACTCATATGAAGACCATTCTAGCTGTTGGTGAATTGGGTTCATTGACAAATGTGTACAAGGCTTCACTTGTGGCAATGATGGCTGGTTCAGATTTCATTAAGACTTCTACAGGTATGTTCAGTTTTCGCAAATTTATTTAAACAATGTTAAAATGTGGTGTGTATAAAAATAATTCCCTGATACTATGTCTTCCCTTTGCAGTCAGTAATGTTTATTAGTATTATTACACAATCTCACCATTGGACCCAAACGTAATCCAGTTTAGGATTTTTCCCATGGAATCCATCTTAATTGTATCCTGTCTTGTTTCTTTGTATCCCAGATAGATGCAAGTATCCATATCAGTTTTGGGCTTCCGTAAGTCAAATACTTTTGAAATACAAGTGTCTCAAAATTTTCAGAAAGGGATTTTGGGCAAATTTTCCCCTGCTAGGCATAAAGAGATAAAACAAAGTGCATTAGGAACCTGATCACATGCCTTTTCCAATGTTATGTGTCTGAGTCAAAGTGCATTAGGAACCTGATCATATGCCTTTTCCAATGTTATGTGTCTGAGGTTAATTACTGTGGGGGAAATTGTGAAGGTGAACGAACTTGACATTTGCCTTTTAATTTTCCTACAAAAAATATATTTCATGCACCATTTAGTATCCTATAGTAATGCTTCAGATTTCAATCTGGGACTACCTTATTATCACGATTTATAAGTTATTGTAGTCTATAAGTAGACACTTTCTTCACAAGTCAGAAATTATATTAATAAGATTACCTCTTCAGTTATTTGCACTGTCGTTTACGTGTTTCCAACACCAGTCAGTCTTCATATATGCCCTGTTGCTGTTCATGGAGCTGCTTTCTTCAGAAATGCTGTCAGAGGAATATTTATGATGTCAGTCCAGCGATTGATGTTATGTCATGATTCGAACCAGTCGAGAGGAATATTTATGATGTCAGTCCAGTGACTGATGTTATGTCATGATTCGAACCAGTCATAGTTTTCTTGTTTCTGTCCATAAGTGGCTCTTCTATGCCTTGTATTAATTAAAATTATGTATGCCAGATATTTTTTAAACATAGACACCAATATGTGTGCCTCATAAGAAGAAAAACCTGAATCAATAACTCCTGAGACATGGAAGATATTCTGTGGCAAAATGAAGGCATACGTATTTGCTGATAGATGAGTAGGTAGCACAGGGGATTTGTGTTGATTAGAAAGTCAGATATGCAAGTTCATGTCATCGTAGTATGGCATGTTTTCTTCTTTATTAGTATACAGACTATTTTGTTACGTCCATATCCCAAACACCTATTCCATACAGACTCCCAGCATTCAGAGTACCAGGTCAGATGTCTATGTAATTCCAATAAATTCTGAGGTTGAAAGTTACGTTAACACACAGCATTTCATGGTGAATGATTGGTAGCACTTTTCCCCAAACTGCATGACTACATCTTGTCAGCTGTCTGTGATGCCTGAAACTGTTTTGTTTGCAGCAACACATGATGCTGGGGTCACCTATATAACATCTCACCTGATTTACAAATGACTTGCACACCTAAGACATTTAAGTTATTTGCATTCATCCTTTCGGCATTATACCAGATTATGTATGTGTAACGTGATAAATGTGTTAGAAGCTGCTGTTGCTGTTACTCTCATACTTATAACAAATACAATGATGTAACAACATTTGCAGTGAGAACTGCCCGTCATGACAATTGTATTTTTTAACAGAGCGGACAGTTTGATCCCACTTATAAGATCTGAGAAATAACTGAGTTGATTCTACGTAACCCGTAGTTAGCGATAGTATAAATGTTTTAAAATTGTTCTCTGATCTTTCAGTAATTTTAACAGAGTATTTTGAATTCATTGTAGTTGTTTATTCTCACATGAGCAGTTTACTAAGCAATTTTAAATTTACTTAATTTTTTCTGTGCTGTAAACAGGTTATCATAGTAGTTCATACTTGTCCTACCTTTCCATTGACAAGTCAAGATTATTTATGAAGATTTCTGTCTTCTGGGTGGTTGCGCTGTGTAGTCTGGTCAATGTTAACCAGCGTTTCAGAGGTCATACTGCCTCCGTCATCAGAGTATGCAGATTTCTGTCTTCTGGGTTGTTGCGCTGTGTAGTCTGGTCAATGTTAACCAGCGTTTCAGAGGTCATACTGCCTCCGTCATCAGAGTATGCAGATTTCTGTCTTCTGGGTTGTTGCGCTGTGTAGTCTGGTCAATGTTAACCAGCGTTTCAGAGGTCATACTGCCTCCGTCATCAGAGTATGCAGATTTCTGTCTTCTGGGTTGTTGCGCTGTGTAGTCTGGTCAATGTTAACCAGCGTTTCAGAGGTCATACTGCCTCCGTCATCTTCATACTCACCGCTGTGAAAACCTCAAATCTTACAAGATTGTTTACTTTTATCATCCCAACAAAGAGAGTTACCTTGGAAATGTGCATTAGAATAACTGGTGAATAAAACTTTGCATGGAAAGGGTTAATACTGTAAGCATTCTAGAACCAGTGCCAAAAATGTGTGATTGATTGATTGTTTGTTATTATGATAAAGATATGATTGTTATCAATTTTCGTGGATAAAATGTTCTTAAATTTTCCTTAAAACTGTCTAGGAAAAGAAGCAGTGAACGCCACGTTACCAGTGGGGGTGGTTATGTGCCGAGCAATTCGTAATTATTACCAGCGCGTTGGATACAAGGTAAATTTTATCATTTTAAGTTATGCAGTATTGTCCCTTATAGTATAGAACAAAATATGTAACAACTGTGAAAACAGTAATCCTTCATGAACAGGGGTGGGGAGTTGCGGTCCGAAAAAAGAATACAATTATCGAAACCAAAGCCTTGTTGGAAGTTCACAGTTACAGGTGTAACAACACGTTCAATATTCATCAGAGACCAAGTAGATCTGAAAGCCTTCCATATCGTGGGTTTATTTAAAAGACGCATCGTGTACCATTGTGGTAATCTAGGCAATTGGAAACTGGCGGAAGCCACCAGACTTTTCTGTGAATGCGCAGACTAAGAACATACATAAAATTAAATACTGTAGGTGGCAAAATCTGGTAGAAAATTAAACCTGAAAAACATGGTTAGTGAAGGATAACTGTCTTCACAGTGTCCTTGACTCGTATATAAAATCTGAAATGACATCAGATGACTCTTGCTGAACATGAGAGATGTCGTAGTGAAGGCACAAGTTTCTCAAATACTTCGAATAGTATCGTGTTATGTGCTGTGCAGCACGCGTAATATTTTACCATAGGTTCTGGAAATGTTTGCCATTTTGAGATGTGAAATCTGGAGACTGCGAGAGGTGGAGGAATTAGTTTCCTCTGAAATCAAGTTGTCATGGGAAATCTACTGCACGTGCCATGACATCGTCTTGCTGATTCATTGCATTCTGACAGAACTTTGTATGAACATTGTCGCACTGTACTTCACTATAGGCACATTCATTGCACTTTTGTCAAACAAAAGGCACAAGCAACTCTCTTTCATGTATGAGAACCCAACTCTTGTGCATATGCAGAGGTGCTGTCGCTTGTCAGGATGTAATAGTGATGGCAGTACAGTAGAGGGCAGTTGCTGTATTTGTTACCATGGCCATAGTTTTGTAGAACTTTATAGCAGCATATGATTTGTGGTAAATGTATTGGTAATGTTTGTAAGCATGGCAGGGGTGATGAGGTGGAACGTACATTCTCATTGAATTAACATCCATGGATGAATGGATTACAGCATGTTGCTGCAAAGCATTTTGTAGGAATTGAGGTTTTCACGGAGGTGAGTCTGAAGATGGCTGTCTTCTGGGTTACTGCGCCATGTAGTATGGTAGAAAGCTGTTGAAAGATGTTTCAGAGGTCCTTCCCTGCGTCCATCATCTGAATATTTCAAAATTTTGAACAAAATGTCTACTGGAACCAGTGTCTGTCAGACCAAATTTTTTAAAAAAATTTTGAGAATTTTTTTTCAAAATTCGCACCGAGTCATTGCCGGACCCGGTCTTTGCCTGCCCTGGTCTCTGCCAGACCGGGTCCTGGCCCGGTCTCTGCTGCACTTGTACTCTCTCGGCCCCGGTCTCTGCTGGACTTTCTCAGCCAGACCTGTTCTTTCCCAGCCCCTGCCTCTGTTGGACCCAGTCTCTGCCTGTCAGGATGTCTGGTGACTATCAAAATCCGAAAATTTTTCAAAAATTTAGAAAAAGTCCTAAATGTCATAAAACCATTAAACGAAAACTTTCCGAAATTTTTGAAAAAGAAATTGGTTTTATATGATTTTTGAACAATTTAATTTTTTTTATTTTTCCATATATTTTAAAAATTTGATTTTTTTCCCAAAATTTATACCGGGTCATTGACTGGCCCGGTCATTACCGGTCTCTGCCTGTCAGGATGTCTAGTGGGCCGACTATCAACATTAGAAAATTTTTCAAAATTTGGAAAAAGTCGTAAATGTCATAATGTCTTAAACGAAAAAAATCATTTTTTAGTTTTGTGCTTTTTTTTCACCGGCTCATTGCCAGACCCGATTTCTTCCGGCCACGCTCGCTGTCGGCAGCTGTCTCTGACGAACCTGATCTTTACCGGATCCTTGACTTAACCTGTCCCGGTCACTCAAGAAATTTTTTCAATTTTCTTTGGTTTTGTACGCATTTCAGACAGTTTCCAGCAATTTTTGATTTTTCGAAAACTTTCATTTTTTTTTTCAAAACTCTCCTCAAGCG